AATTTCATATAAAACACTGCCTGGTATTGTCCGGTACTGCCCGCTATCGCCTGGTATTGCTGGTTGCTGACAAACATACTGCCCGGTAGCTATATACGCATTATTTATCTCTTTTTCTCTTATAAATTAAATACCAAATACTGCTCAGTACTGCTCAGTACCACCCGGTACTAGCCGGTATCAGGCAGTATTTAGATTGAAATTTGCAAGACAAAAAGAGAAATAATACATTTATAGCTACCGGACAGTGCCGGGCGGTATTGGGCAGTAACTATATTAGCACCAGGCAGGGCCTAGCGGTACTGAATAGTACCGGGCAGTATTTAGTATGAATTTATAAGACAAATTATGTGTTTATAGCTACCGAGCAGGAGATTTATTAGACCGGTAGTGCCGGGCGGTACCGGGCAGTATTAAAAAAAATAATAATAATAGAGAAACAGAGACAAATAACGCATTTATAGGTACTAGGCAATACATCATTAGCACCGGGCAGTGCCGGGCAGTACTGGGCAGTACTGAGCAATACTGGGTGGTACTGGGCAGTACCCGGTTGTACTTAGTATGAAATTTATAAGAGAAAAAGAGACAAATAATGTGTTTATAGTTGATGGTCAGTACATATTCAGCCATTACAATGACTTAGTAGTTCACAGCCCCAATAGCAACCATTACAGAATAACAAAATGATTGATCTTTAAAAAAAAAAAAAAAATGTTTGGCTTACCAGGAACCCATTATGTGTGTAAAGGTAATCCGGTCCACAGGGTGTGGCATAGTCCAGTTTAGTAAACTTTTACGAAAAAGATTCGTTTATCACTCTTCTCCTGAAACCTTACAGGAAACCCTTTCAGCTGAAACACCAACCCACTACCTACTTGCAGTCTTGGCCTATGACCATGAGAGAATTGCTTCCAATGTAGACAGCCTAAATTCCTTCTGACTCTTCTTTTTTCCTCGGTCTCTCTCTCTCTGTATCTCTCTCTCACTCCTCCATATCACATCAATAGACTGGTAAATCCAAGACTAAGTAAGTCTTGGATCGAGTCCCAGACTCATGTGTCTGACTCAGTGTTGGCCTCGTTTTAGCATTGAATGAGTTACAATTTTCCTAAACTGAACCATTGCATGCCCCTTGGACCAGATTACCTTTACACACATGATGGGTCCCTGGGCGAGCCAAACAATTTCATTATTTTTGTTAAAAAAAAATAATAAAAAAAAGAAAAAGAAAAAAAAAAAAAAAAAAAAAAAAAAAAAAAAAAAAAAAAAAAATATATAATATATTATATATATATATATATATATATATATATATATATAACCTATACCACGATTATTTTGATTGATAACATCCATTTCAAGTATTTAGCTGCCAAATACATACTTTTTAAGTAATCTACTTGATCTGACATCATCTGGTAGAAGATATGGTAGCCACGCTCGGCAGGGGCCTGGGACACCACGCGAGCCTTCTCCAGCAGGTACACCTCGATGTCAGCCCCGGAGAGCTTGCCGTTGGGGCGAAGTGGATGCGGATGAATTTGCCCTGGAAAGGTAAAAAAAAAAAAAAAAAAAAAAAAAAAAAAAAAAAAAAAGATCAAGGGTATGAATATAGCATTCGGTAACTTCTTTTGACACAAACAATAGCAATTATCTAAAACATTATAATTTGCTTAAGTTATTTGGAACGTAAACTGGGAATGGTTTGCTTTCTTTCATACTTACGAAACGAGAAGAATTGTCATTACGAGTAGTCTTGGCGTTGCCGTAAGCCTCCAGGGGAGGGTTGGTCTGCACGATCTGGTCCTCCAGGTTCTGTTTCAAAGGTTCGTTGGGTGAAGATTGGCTTTCAGTAGTGCAAGTAGAAATACTACGTTGCATGGAAATACCGTTAGCCCAAAAGCAACTGAGCATAAATGTCAGCTTGTTTTTTAGTGAAAATGATTTTTTTGAACTTCATGATCAGATTGGTACCTGTTTTTTCTCATCTTCCTTCTTCTTGGTGGTGGCGCCGACGTTGGCGAAGTAGGACAGCACCTTCTTCGTGTTCTCGGTCTTACCGGCGCCAGATTCGCCACTTAGGGAGTAAGCGTGTGTTTATACATACATATATATGTATACATATATTCATGTGTGTTAACAAAATAAGAATACCAAGAGAAAATTGATAGAAAACAATTATACAGTGCTAACTTATATCATTATGTCAATACATTTAAATTTTCTATAAATAAAATTATAAATAAGCCTCTATATGTATGTGTGTTTATAAAAATGTATGTGTGTTTCTTGTCTGTATCTATGTATGTGTATATATATACATATATGATTATGTGTTTTATATCTATGTGTGTGCATATATATATATATATATATATATATATATATATATATATATATATATATATATATATATATATATTATATTTTTATATATGAACATACATATATACATATATATGTGCATATACATACATATTATGTGTGTGTATTTTCATGTATTACATATATATGCATATATGCATATATGCATATAAAATACATACATACACACACACACACACACACACCACACACACACACACACACACACACACACACACATATATATATATATATATATATATATATATATATATATATTATATATATATATACATACATGTGCATGTTTTCTTGTATTATATATGGATACACTCATATATATATATATATATATATATATATATATATATATATATATATATATATATATATATATATATATATATATATATATATATTGTGTGCATATATGTGTGTGTGTTATGTATATGTAAATGAATGAATCTATA